TTTATGGTTCTCTTCAATTTTGAACACTTCCCTCCCTTGCTTTTGTAACTTGTCTTTTTTTGGGGGGACAGGGTCTCACTCTGTCTCCCAGGCTGGCAGGCACTGGCACGATCTTGGCTCACCGCAGCCTCCACTTGCTGGGCTGAAGCAGCAGATCCTCTCACCTCAGCCTCCAAAGCAGCCGTGACTACAGGTGCATACTCCTACATCCAGCCGATTTGTGTATATTTTTAAATGTAGAGACGAAGTTTCATCAGTTTTCTTTAATTTTTCTAAGATCTTTCAACTTCCCCTCTTGCAGCACCACCCCCTAACCAACTTGCCTAATCACTATTTGGCCTTAATTTTTTTTTTTTTTATTCCAACAGTAACATTTTCATTACCTTTCAGTTTTCCTTCTAAAAATATTAAAACACGAAATTGGCAAATAAATTTCCCTAAAACCAACCTATTATAAGAATAATAGGAATTCTACTCATTTGGTGATTTTAAAAGTTCAACAAGATATTAGGTATACAAAGGCAGATGCCTAATGTGAGACATCAAACTACATAACTTAAGAAAGTCAATTCTATCTAAAGATATTATACCAAAACTCTCTATTTTACAAAGTATCTTCTAATTTTAGTAACTGCAAACAAATTACATCTATCTTCACAAATGAATCATTAGCAATTTAAGGAACTGGTTGAAGAAATACTCACAATATAATTTTAAACATGGACTAAGAAGAAGGACAAGCCAAATGCCCAAAAGAGAGTCCAGAAACAACCTTAAATAAACATGGGACCGTAATATATGATAAAAGTGGTGTTTCAAACCACTTGGAAAAAGGTGAGTTATTTAATTAATGCTACTAGGATACATAATTAGTCATTTGGAAAAAACTAAAAACATCAATATCACTCCTTAAGCTAAAATAACTTCCACAGGAATCAAAATTCAAGTGTAAATTTTAGATGAAAACGTTACGTACATTTATATAGAGAGATAGTCTTTGAGAGGAAAACACCTATCTAAACAAGTAAATATAGAAGCCATAATAAAAGATGTCAATAACAGTATGTAAAAATCTAAGATTTTTTGTAGGGCCTAATATAGACTATAAAAAGAGCAATGAAGAAACAGACCAGTGACAACGGGGAAAACATTTTCAACAAATGTGCCACATGGCTTATTATTATATAAGTAATTTCTACAAGTCAATAAGAAAAACAAACAAAAAAGTGCATAAGCAATTGGAAAAGAAAAAATAAACAAAAATGGGCTATAAATTATTCTGTTACTCAACCTTATGGATAAGAAGTGCAATTTAAAATAAGATACCATTTTAATTCAGCAGTTTGACAAACACTTTAACATTTGCCAAAATCCAACTTCCTAAATACTTGAGGATGGGGAAAACCAGAGGCACTCATTCACTACTGGTAGGAGTGAAGAGCGTTACATTTTGAAGGAGTATTTGACAATAACTAAAAACAAATTTTAAAGTACATATTTGTTTCAATAATGGTTGTAATAAAAATGAGAAATGATTTAAATGTGCAAAAACAGGGACCAGGCAAATAAATATAATATATCCATATGATTCAACAGAACATAACAGTTACTGTGTAAGATGTATTAAAACAAGGTGCAGAACAATAGACAATATGCCATTTGTGTAAATATTTATGAAAGTTATAAACAGACAAATCCTTGTACAGACCTACACATTTTCTGAAACGATGACCAGAAATTTAAGTGTGGTTGCCTCTTTAAGTGCAAGACTAAAAAGAAGCATGTATTTCTTAAACTGTTTAATGCCACAAATTATATTTTTTATCATGTACTTTATTTAAAAGATAGAATTTAAAAAGTAAACAGTGTAAATATTCCATAAACATTTGCTTTTAATTAAAACAATTACGACTAACATATTCAGAATATCTACTAGTGGCAAATTTTGTAGCAGAGGCTGGGTCTTCTAAGTATCAAGCTATAATAATTGAATTCAACTGTCTTTCTACAAACACTTATCCTACGTACAAATAGCTCTTTTTACACAAAATAAGGGAATACTATTTTTCCTCTCACCTACTTACTCTCAATCCCTTCACACTAAGGAATAAATTCTCCCAAGACATACTTTGTTCCTTGAAATTATTTCACCCACTTTATTATCACACAGCTAAAGAAAACTGTTTTTATAAATTAGGAATGATTTAATCATTAAACTAAGAATGAATTTAAAATGGATCAGGCTCTATCAGGAAATGTGGGCTCAGACGCTAGGTTCACCAACACCAACAAATAATAATGAATGGTTATAGCAAAGTCACAGCAACTCTTCAAGCGTAGATTTCTTCATATGTGAATATTATCAATTTCATAAGGGTGCCGTATAAAGAAATTAAACATTAATATGTATTTTTTGTATTAAGTGATATAAGCAATAGCTCATGTTTAAGGAAAAAAATACCAAGAGACGCCTATTAAAAATTAATGATGACTATTACTATGACATCTATTTATTTAACTAAAGTACATACTCGAATTTGTAAACTTCATCCTGAGTTCACTGAATTCAGTTATATTTTGTAATTTTCTTTAAATATGTAACATGGAGTCTGTGAACCCAGGGCAAGGAAAGTTCAAGTTCAGTAATATAAATGCTTGTGTTTCTTCCTATCACATTTCATTGTACCTACGACTATGATACAGATTTTGCTGCCTCATTCATCTTTTTACCTTTACTTCTGTATTTCTCCTTCAAAGAATTCAATTTGTTTCATGTTCCTCCCCATGTCTTTTACTATGTGCCACAACGAAAGTTATACGTGTAGATATAGTTATAACAAAAACCATTTACAATGAGGTAACACTGTTTTCTTCCTGAGAAGATGGAATTAAATGTTTATTAAAAATTTTATTTTCTCAAAATAAGCCAGGCAATAATATTATAGTTCATAATTCACGACAGAACAACAACATTTAAATCCACAGAAACTAGCATGGTACTACAGGAATACTACTACTTAGGGAACAACAGAGATAAAATTTAATTCCTCCCCATTCTTGTATCAATCATTATACTATTTTCAAAGAGTTAAGCATTGCAACTAATAAACATCCAATTATATGCAAAAGAAGGGGAGTGGAGGACCACAGAAAAACACTTCAAGATCGCAAAGTACATTTCCATCTACTATCATGTCCCCTGACATGAATAATGATCTACCTTGAAAGAAAAACACCCAAAATGTTAAACTAGATACAATTTCTAAACACACTACAATGTACCACATACCAGTAAAAATACTGAGCTTTTATGTTAAAGCTATATCCTTAAAATTGTCTCTACAAATGCAGAGTAGTGGTTTCATTAATACTTCCAAACATTTCTTCTGTGTTTCTCTAACCTAATATTCAATTCTAAACTTTTCAAATGCTGAATATACAAGAGGGGAAACAATGCATGAAAAAAAAAGTGAAAATACTATAAGATTTTCCCTAAATGCATAACAAACGTTAAGTCAGAGTTAGATATTAACAGAAATCTGAAATATTATCTTTCACTTTTAGAAGCAAGATAAATTCTATCACAAAAAGAAAACTGACTTCTCTTTGAATGGGTTAGTAAAATCTGTATTTTTAACATACCCATTTTCATATTTTAACTATAATATTTAACTGTCTGGCTTTAGCCAACACCTTTTTTTTTTTGCTCAACGCATGCAGACCATTCTTAACTAGCATGCTATTTTTGTATAATCAGGCACTTCTGTTCTCACTAGTTGGGTTACATGCTTAACAAGTCAGTTGGTGGTTCCCAAACCCATTTATGCCAGTTTACTTGTTACAATCCTTACATAACTTAAACATTATTTAAGTCTATGTACTGCAAGTGCAAAAAGGAATAGTTGTTTCTGTATAAGTTAAATGTAAACTAAGTAGGCAGGGTGCAGTGGCTCATGTCTGCAATCCCAGCACTTTGGGAGGCTGAGATGGGTGGATTAGTTGAGGTCAGGAGTTTGAGACCAGCCTGGCCAACACAGTAAAACCCCATCTCTACTAAAAATACACAAATTACCTGGGCATGGTGGCATGCACCCATAGTCCCAGCTACTTGGGAGGCTGAGGCAGAAGAATTGTTTGAACCTGTGAGGCTGAGGTTGCAGTAAGCTGAGACTGCACCACTGCACTCTAGCCTGGGTGACAGAGTGGGACTCTGTCTCAAAAACAAAACAAAACACAAAAAAAGGACAATAACAAAATATAAACTATATAGCATGACTCAACAAAGCTGAGTTACTCTTTTAAAGGGTGTTGAATTAGATAAAAGTGACATAACTGCAAAATATAAGGGGAAATCCTAAAAAGTTAGAAGGAGCCTATACTTAGGGTTTTTCAAAAGTTATCTTTAGGCTTTTATTCCACGTTAGAGAAATCAAAACTGGAAATAGCAAATCATGCATTATGAATATAAGAAAAACTTCTCTCAACTCCACAAAGAGAGGGCATTAGCTCAATGTTAAACGGTTTATAAATGAATGTACATTTATACCTTTTAAGTTAAAATTTTAAAATGTTACCTATAAGATGTATTATTTTTAAATTTTCAGTAACCTACAAAAAAACTGTTCCAGTCTCAACAAATAGAAAGGCTTCAAACATTTTTTTTTCCTGAAGCCCTTAAACTGGTTTGATATACCCACTAGATTAAAAACTACATGTCTATTTCCAAGGAAACCAAGGATTAAAAAATAAATAAAAATAAATAAATAAGATAAAAACTACACGTCTATACAAAATAACAATATTTAGCAAAAAGCACAATAAAATAACTTTATGGAAGCACAATAAAATAACTTTATGGAAAAAAAGTATTAGAATGTATGTTCTATAAGGGCAAGGATCTTTATCTTATTCACAGATGTATCCTGAACATGTAGAACAGTTCCTGATATGTAGTTGACACTCAATAAACATTTGTTGAATGAAGAAGAAAAGGAACTTACTGTGATGACAGCCTTGCTAAGACAAATGGATCCCCTGCAGCCATACTCTGTTTCATCTTCAGATTTGTAGTAACTCAGAGCATTATTTTTCAAAACTACCCAACGATCCTGCCACCCATGAATGTAGTTTGTCCACTGGGAGTGGGAAGGGAAAAGGAAGGAAGAAGAAAACAAAAAATAGAAGTATTTTAGAAATCCAAACTTTTTGAAACAGCAATATAATTTTAAAACCAAAATGTGAAAAATCCAACTTAATTCTAAGCATAAACAGTAAAATGATTACAAACGTGAAAAGTTGACATTTTCTAGATTGCATAATGATTTTCAGTAATTTTTACAATATCATATATAAATCAGTAAGAAACAAAATATACCATTTTCATTTTTTTTTTTTTTTTTTTTTTTTGAGACGGAGTCTTGCTCTGTCACCAGGCTGGAGTGCAGTGGCGCAATCTCGGCTCACTGCAACCTCCACCTCCTGGGTTCAAGTGATTCTTCCACCTCAGCCTCCCAAGTAGCTGGGACTACAGGCGCATGCCACCACACCTGGCTAACTTTTGTATTTTTAGTAGAGACGGGGTTTCATCATGGCCTGGATGGTCTCGATCTCTTGACCTCATGATCCGCCTACCTCAGCCTCCCCAAGTGCTGGGATTACAGGCGGGAGCCACCACGCCCGGCCTACCATTTTCTTTTAACATTTTAAGAATAAAACCAAAGCCAGATTTTGGTTAAAATTATTGTTTGTTCTTTGTGTGCTTTCATCCTTTCTTAAGTATCTTCATGATACTTGTTTTGGTCTTTGTCATACTTAACATATTCAACAGAGAATTATGTTCAGTTATGTATGTATGTAGTCTCTCATTCTCTGACACCAAGGGCTGCATGAAGCTTTCTAAGTCAATGGAAGTATAAAGTCAATTACTGCTAAAACTTTAGTTTTGTTACTCCCATATGAAAATCTATAATGGTCATAACTATATCAAAGTAAAAATAATAGAAACTAATCTGTAGTAAGCCGTCAACTTTCACTTTTCCTCCACAGAACTGAATAATATTTTATATGGCTAATTCACTTTCCAAGTTTCTCTGAACATATATTTTTCAAACCCAAGAGTAATAATACCAAAATAAAATTGGTTTTCAAAAACATATTGGATTGTCTGTCTTCAGTATTCTGAGTTTCTGTGTTGCTAAAGTCTTGCTGTACAGTGAAGATCACAATAAACTGGAAAAGACAGAAACGTAATCTTTATGAGAATACTTATTTTTGCATGTTTTTTATCTATCCTCTGGGGTTGGACGTATAGAAAAATCCCAAAACCATCTGCCAATTCCAGAAACTAATTCAAAATGGATTGCCAAAATATACTGCATTTGCTCAGGTTCTTTATCTACTGAGAAATCTATTTTTCTATTCTCTAAGCATTTTTGAGACCAATTCAGTTCTTAAATTTTCTTTTATTTTGTATTTTTTTTGAGACATGGTCTCACTCTGTCACCCAGGCTGGAGTGCAGGGGCGCCATCTCAGTTCACTGCAACCTCCACCTCTTAGACTTAATCCTCCCACCTCAGCCTCCTGGGTGACTGAGGGTACAGGTGCACGCCACCACGCCTGGCTAATTTTTTTGTAGGGTTGGGGTTTTGCTGTGGTGCCAAGGCTGGTCTCAAACTCCTGGGCTCAAGTGATCTGTCCTCCTCAGTCTCAAAGTGCTGGGACTACAGGTATGAGCCACCATCCCTACCCAGTTTGTAATTTTTCTAAGCCCCATCATTATAACTCTTCTCTGAGAACTCAACCATGCTGACAATTTAACTTATTCCAGTGGCTCCTAATCACCATTTCCTTATGTCTAACTGCGTGTGATGTACCACCACTTAGACACAGGCTTGAAATAAATGATAGTTACCAATAAAACTGAATTCAACTCTATCTATAATGTGTACTTCCTTCCTATTTTCTTATTTCCTTGGCTGGACTGCCACTTCTGCTCAGTTTTACTGTATTATATATACAATCAGATTAGTGGATACAGGATTAAATAGGCTCAACTACTTTACAACTCATGTGAAGAGAGTTTTGACAAGTTACTTTTGTAAGCTTCAGTTTCTTTGCCTATTGTTTGAAGGCTGAATAAAATAATGAAATTGCCCAGCACAGTCACAAACAATACTCAATACCTGAGTATTCCTTCTCTATTTTTATGGCCCATTACCAAAACCAGCTTATCTTTCCTTCATAGTAAACCCTTAAATTTGCCTCCTCTTCTCATTTTCAGCCATTCCAATCAAATTATCCAGTTCCTGAATTCCTTAGACGACTTAATAAGCTTTTCTTTAGTATCTTGTTTTTTTCCATAATTTACACAAGCTTATTTACTTACTCAGCATATTTGCCTACTTTTCTCACCTATTGATCGTATGGAGTCCCCAGCTCCAAAATTCCATGGACAACTTCCCACTGACTGTCATAAAAATTGTTTAGTGCATTCAACACACTCCATGGATTAATCCTGCCTTATTTACAATTACCACACTTCATAAGGCTAAACTGTGTGACTGTGGTCAAGTTACTTACTCTGTGTTCTTTTCTTTGTCAAACACTATCTCTTAGAGTTAATTTTAAACAAGAATAGACTTAGAACAGTGCCTGGACACAGTATTTTCTGAATGTGAGGAAGAGTTACACAGAGCTAATGAAGCTTAATCTTCGGCATTTCTCAATAGAACAGAACGCTTTCAAAGTTAGAGGAGGGGCTCCAGCAATATGTATCCATAATTTAATACCATGTTCTTCTAAGGTACTGAACAAATTATAACAGCTTCAGTACTCTTTAATCAGTAAGTGTTAGCTGTTATGAAACCTGGAAGGCAGGTTTTTGTCTTTTCTCTGCTCTCATAATGTTCCTTCACTCTTCCTCATTTAACAAATACAGACAAGGCAATACGCTAGACACTGCAGGAGAATCAAATATTACTGTGGCCAACAGGACAGCAAACACAAGTACAAGAGAAAAAAATATATTTAGAATAAGAGTCAGAAGCAAGCTACAAACAAAATGCTATGGGAATTCTAGTGAAGAAGGTCTTGAATGATGGCAAAATAATAAAAAGCTTTATGGAAAAGACAGTATTTGACTTAGACTCTTAAAGATGAATAGAATTTCAAAAAAGGTGTGTGGAAAAACAGAAGAAGGTAAACCATGAGGGATGGAGGAAATTCGGAAATTGAATGAGACTTATTTTATCCAGACTTAGTTGCTTTTAAGTCCAACTAAGGCATGAATCTTTTCCCCACCATGATCCACCATGATATTTGTTATAACCACATAGAACTATTGTATATACAGTATTTTTGGAATCTATACTCAAGTGATTTATAAGAAATATGCCTCATAGGTATTTCCATGTATTTCAGACTACCAGATGGAAAATATGCTTTGAACTGTATATTTTTAATATAAATTTACCTCAGCCCATTCTAAATCCCCCCCATTTTGAGGGAGAAACAAAACAAATTGCACTGGGGCTTATTTTCATTACTCAATAAAAGGAAAAGAACAAAAGCCGAGTTCTGACCCTTGTTTAAATTACCAGGTGAATACAAAGAATTCAAAATATATAGTTTACATTTAAAAACATGTACCATACTCAGTATAAGTATATATATTCAATTTAAAATACCTTTGATTAAAAAGCTTCCAGAAAACACTATATGTAACCATAAATTGGTAAATCTCAGGAAAAATTTCCTTCAAAGCTATCAGCAAGAATAATATCAAAAGCTTTATTCCTATTGATTCTACAATAGCAGCAACAGTCAAAATTTAAGTTACTTGCCTTCCATAGAGGTGTCAAATACATTTTTACACATTTAAATATCGAGATTGGTCTTCCATTTTTTGATCTACAGTATACCACTCCACATACAGTAAATACTTAGAACACTGGTAACTTTTCCCTCAGTCACTCCACTCCCCCAACCCCTAAAAAAGTTATTATTAGTAGGTTAAAAGTACAATTTGTTTTGTAAAATACTCAACACACTACAGTACTAGTGTGGCAGTCGGCTTCCCATCTCATGAGCAGTGATGAAACTATCAAAATCACTGAGAAGCAAGTAACCCATTTCACAACTATTACCAACTGAAAATGTATACCTATTACAGAATGTGTTCAATAGAGATTCCTAAATTATAGGATACATTTAATCTAAAGAAATCCTGAGGAGCTTCACTTTACTGAAAACCTTGCACTGAAATTTCAAGAATGATCACAGCATCAATATATAACATAATTTTTCTGCTATACAAATCAAAGTCAACACTTGCATTCCTTAGTTCTGACTATTCATGCCTTTCCTGGTCCCCTTTCTAAAGACATTATAAAAGCCTAATATGAAACAATTCCACAAATAGTGTCCAAGTGATTTGCCAAAATATGAATACTGGAAACAGGGTGATTTCTTAACAGCCAGTCTGCACATGACATAGTATCTTATGACCAGCTTGTTGTGGGACTGGCCCAGCTCTCCCTTTCCAAGTTAACTGCTAGCTCCAGCCATTTCTAAAAAAGTTTAACAGGAAGGGAGAGAGAAGTCAAAAAGGCTATGTGAATCTTCTTATTGCAAAAACTTAAAAAACAAACAAAACAATCAAAAACCCCCACAACCATGTATTATCAAGAAGTCCCCCATCTGAAGTCCTAGAAACGACTGCTTTGCTAAAATTTTGATACAGAGATTTTAAAAAATATATAAAAGGTAAAATATCTTTTCCTTACCCTGGACCCCTTACTGCAAAAATATTTTATTGTTAAATAATGCTCTTCTTCCTGGACTAAAGATCAGTCTCCATTCTCATGTGTTCCAAGTTACTATGAATATTTCTTGTGCCTATCAGGTGCTGATTCAATATCTCTATTCTAAACTGGGGTATAGGGTGAGGGAGAAAGTCCTCCACATTCATCTGTCTCACTACATCTAATCTGGCATAGTTTAGCACCTCAAATTTCAACATCAAGCCGAGTCGCTCCGGCTTCTATCGAAACAGTTGCGTCCAAAGTGCCCCCAACCCTACTCAACTTGGCATCCTCAGACAGACCAACCTCTTTTAAGAGATCCGACTTGAACCACTCCCAGTCGTTCCGACACCGCTGAAGCCCAACCCGGATTCCTTAGACCCGAGACAGCTGCTGCCCTGAGTCCCAAGTCATCTCGCCTCCCAAACCGGATCCCAGGTTTGATACACGCTTTCACCGGTCCTCGGCTGCCCCCGACAGTACCCCTATATCCCCACCTCATCCCCAGTCGCTGCGGCAGTACTTAGCCCCGCACCCCGGCACGTTCCGCGCCTCCTGCCAGCCCCACCCCACGGCCTCAGCGGATTGCCTTGCGGCAGGTGAGTCTGGCCAGGGGTCCCTTGGCACCGCGGGTTGCTCACCTTACTGAGGACCCCGCAGCGCTCCACAGGCGGCCCAGACTCCGTCTCTGGATCCTCCTCCGAGCCCGACGAGTTCCAGCTCTGATTATCCGACATGGAGGCGCGACAGCCGAGCAGGAGACTGGCCCCCACTCCCTCAGCTGCGCTGGAGGAGGCGCCCAGTCCTCGGGGTGAAGGGTCGGGGATGGCGAAGCGAAGAGTGCCCGTTCCGGTGTGGGGGGGGGAGCAGGAGGAGGAACGGAGTCCGCCCGCCGCGCCGCCGCGCCTGACACCGAGCGGAGCGGGGAAGGAGGACAAGCGGTGAAGGAAGTCTACCCTTCCAGCCGTCAAACGCCGTCGCCGTGACCCCTGCGTTGCGCCCGGCGCCGCCACCTGAACTTAGCCCCCTCGATGCCAATTTCAAATAGGGAAGAAAAAGGGAGAAGAAGGAAAGAGAAAAATTCGGCCGCCGAGACCCGCGTCCACTCACACCTCCGCTACAGCCGCCATCTTCCTGCCTGGCCCACTATTTACCCTCCCCTCCCCTGTCCTTTCCCCTCCTCTTCGTCCTCCCATTCTCCCTCCTACTCCCCGCCCCCTTCCCCTCCTGACGTCTGACGCAACACGCCGAGCGTTCGGGATCCTCCTCCAGCACCCTACCCCCGGCTCTCCTGGGTGACGAAGGGTATTAAAGTAGGAGGAGCGGCGCAAGGAGAGGGCGGGATAGGAACGCCACTCTGTTGCATTCTGGGAAGGGCGCCGGTCTGTCGTTCGCGCGGCCTCCTGGGAGTTGTAGTTGCGATCTTGAGGTAACGGGTGAGTATCCCGCGCGGGCATCGCTTGCTGTCTTGGGGACTTTTCAGTCGGTGGGTGGGCTTCGTTTGACAGTTGCGTGACTTGCCCTTCGGCCTCGTTTCTACCCTTGCCTTATGTGTTTATGACGAACTCTCCGGGCTTGCGGGCCCTGACGCGAGAGAACTTTCCGCTGAGGATGACGGGCCTGCTTTCTTGGGCGGCTTTTCGAAAGCCCGGGAGCATCTGGCCGCTTCCGCTTCAACCACGAGCTGAGGGTTTTCTTTCCGCCTAGCTGTAAATCTCAAGGGTCTTGCTAATTAGAATTTACACTTCACGTTTGACGTTTACCGCATTTAAAGGCAGAATTTCCTCACTCCCTTCTCACAAGCACGCACTTCGCATTTTTTGATTTCTAGAGTTTTCTTTGTGGAAAGCAATCTTGAGGTTGTCAGATAAATGACGTTAGAAGAGTTGTTAAAGTAAAACAAGACGGACGATAGCCTGGAATTTTCTTTTAGTTGTAAATGGATATCTTATTGAGAACCAGATTAACCATGACTGCCTCTCAAAGATAGGAAAGGTTGGCAACGTATAGAAACTTTTTCGTATTAGGAATACCTAAGTGCAATGGTTTTGTGTACACGGGATTTGGCAATAGGAGGCTATTTTTGTTTTAAGACTAGAGTTGAATTAGCTAAAAGACCAACGGAAGATCTACCAGCTCTTGTCTGTTGTCAAGGATAACTTTGTGAGGCCTTTGACTTTGTAGCTTCAGTAATATCCTCTCGTTAGCTATTTTAATATAGTCGATTTCCTGATAACTGACAGGAGTAAAATTTGTTATTAAACCTTAGAAATAATACTTTTTTACTACAGGGATGGGACAATAGGAGCGAAATTTCGAGTCTAAGGGAAAGCGCTGGCCAGGCGCGGTGGCTCACACCTGTAATCCCTGCACTTTGGGAGGCTGAGGTGGGCGGATCACCTGAGGTCGGGAGTTTGAGACCATCCTGGCCAACATGGTGAAACCCTGTCTCTACTAAAAATACAAAAACTATCTGGGCGTGGTGGCACACACCTGTAATCCCAGCTCTTTATATTCTGGTTTCAAATCTAGGCTTGATGACTTTTTACCATATCCCAGTCTCATATTTTTTCCTTCCTCTATGGAGAATTAATTACGATTCTAAAGGTTAGTAGCATGAAGCTAGATTATCCCTATCATGGCAATGGATAGATAAGTAGGCATCGCCAATATTTATATTGCTTTCTTTTACTTTCTTTTTTTTCTGACCATCCACACTCCATCTATATTGATGAGTTCTTTTACTAATATCAATTATTGTATTATGCTCATAGTGCCGGGTCTTATTCTGCAGCTTTGATTTTTAAGGTGACTTTGCATATCTGTCTAAGATTCCTTTATCTGTTGATTTTTACCATTTAAGTCTTCAATGACAGTTGTATTTTTGGAAAAGTGGGAGGGAAAAGGTAGATGGGGGTACTCAGTGATACCTTAATGCATTTCACAGCTACTTGAGAATATGTCAGATCTCATAAAAAGTTCTAACATTTGAGAATAAGGCAGTGATTTCAGAAATGGAATTTCAAAAGTTGTGTAGGCCACCATTTTTATCTTGTTTCCTGTTGTACAGATGAGAGCCAGGCTAGGCATGTTTCAAGCAGAAATATTCTTACTATTGAATGACATTGAAAATATATTCCAATATCTTCTAATCTTTTTGGTTTATGGGATAAAAACTTGTTAGGGTAGTTAGTATTTCATAGGCTTCACTATAACATTGAAAAATCTTTTAGTTTAAAAAGCACACAGTACACTACACATTTATAATAGATGACCAGTATTAGAAATTATAATACAAATCAAAACATACCAAACCCAAATTTTTATTCCTTATTTTCTTGAAATAGGGAGGCCTCAAGTGATCTTTCTGCTTTGGCCTCCCAAAGTGTTGAGATTTGATGTGAGCCAACATGCCAGGCCCAATAGTCTTTTTTTATGGCTAAATTGTGTGTGTGTGTGTATACACACCACATCTTCTTTATCCATTCATCTATTGATGTTGATTCCGTATTTTAGCTATTGTGAATAGTAGTGTAATAAACATGGGAGTGCAGATATCTCTTCAATGTATTGATTTCCCTTTTGGGTATATACCTCGTACTAGAATTCTGGATCATATAGTAGTTCTATTTTAAGTTTTTTGCAGAATCCCCATACTGTATTCCATAGTGACTATATTAATTTACATTCCCACCGACAGTGTACCAGGGTTCCCCTTCCTCCACATCCTCACCATCATCTGTTATTCCCTGTCTTTTTAATAAAGCCATTTTAGGCCCCACATGGTGGCTCATGCCTGTAATCCTAGCATTTTGGGAGGCTGAGGTGGGAGGATTACTTGAGCTGCTCAGGAGTTCAAAATCAGCCTGGGCAACATAGTGAGACCTTGCCTCTATGTTAATAATAATAATAAAATTGTAAAGCCATTTTGACCAGAGTAATACGATATCTCATAGTGGTTTTGATTTACATATCTATGATGGTTAGTGATGTTGAACATTTTTTACATTTACCTGTTGGCCTTTAGTATGCTTTCTTTTGAGAAATCTCTATTCTTTTGCCCATTTTTAAATCGGATTATTTTATTGAGTTGTTTGAGCTCCTTATATATTCTGTTTATTAATCTGTTGTCAGATAGATAGTTTGCAAATATTTTCTACTGTTCAGTGGGTTGTCCCTTCACTTTGTTGGTGACATCCCATGCCAAGCTCAGGAACTATAATAACAAATGCCCTGCTGTGAAAAAACTATTTAGCTTAATATAATCAACAAAGTGAAGGGACAACCAATAAAGTGATACTTTTTTATTGGTGTTGACAACCAATAAAAAATATTCTGCTGTGTAAAAACTGTTTAGCTTAATATAATCTAATTTGTCCACGTTTGCTTCGATTGTCAGTGCTTTTGAGGTCTTACATGAAAAAGTCTTTGGCCAGGCAAGGTTCAGTGCCTCATACCTGTAATCTCAGCACTTTGGGAGGCTGAGGCAGAAGGATTGCTTGATCCCAGGAGTTTGAGGCCAGCCTGGGAAACATAGGGAGACCCTACTTCTGCAAAAAGAATTTTAAAAGTTTAAAAATTAAAAAGTTAAAAAAGTAAAAATAAAAAGGTTTTAAAAATTAAAAGTTTAAAAATAAATAAAGTTTAATAAATAAATAAAATTAGTTGGATATGGTAGCACACACTTGTGGTCCCAGCTGCTCAGGAGGCTGAGATGGGAGGATCGCTTGAGCCCAGGAGGTCAAGGGTGTAGTAAGCTATGATTGCACCATTGAATTCAAAATTTGGGTGACAGAATAAGACCATGTCTCAAAACAAAACAAAAAAACCTTTGACCAGACCAATGTCCTGGAGTATTTCCCTTATGTATTTTTCTAGTAGTTTCATAGTTTCAGAACTTAGATTTAAATTTTTAATCCATTTTGATTTGATTTTTATGTGAAAAATCAAACAGAGATAGGGAAGAAATATCTTTGAGAGATAGTCTCATTCTTCTACATCTGGTTATCCAGTTTTCCCAGCACCATTTATTGAGGAGACTATCCTTTTACCATTATATGTTCTTGATTCATTTGTCAAAAATTAGTTGGTTGTAAATGTGTGGATTTATATCTGGGTTCTCTATTCTGTTCCATTGGTCCATGTGTCTGTTTTCATGCCAGTATTGTGCTCATTTGGTTACTATAGCTTTGTAGTATATTTTGAAGTCAGATAGTGTGATGCCCCCAGCTTTGCTCTTTTCCCCTAGGATTGCTTTGGTTATTCAGCGTCTTATGTGGTTCTATATATATTTTAGAATTCTTTTTCTATTTTTGTGAAGAATGTCATTGGTATTCTGATAGAGATTGCATTGAATCTGTAAGTTGTTTTGGGTAGTATTGTCATTTTAACAATATTAATTCTTCCAGTTCCACAACTTTGGAATAGTTGTCTCAGTTGTTATGTCTACTTTTTCATTTTTGTTTTTATTTATTTGAATTTTCTCAGTCTAACGGAAGTTGTGTCAACTTTATCTAGCTTCTGAAAAAAACTTTTGTTGATCTTCTGTAATTTTTTGGTCCTAATTTTATTTACTGCTTCTCTGTTATTTATTTTCTTCTACTAATTTTAGGTTTGGATTGTTCTTGCTTTTCTAGTTTTTGAGATGCATGGTTAGGTTATTTGAGATCTTTTTACTTTTTTGATGTAGACATTTATTATTGTAAACTTTTCTCTTAGTACCACTACTTTGGCTGTATCCCATAGATTTTGGTATAATGTATTTCCATTGTCATTTGTTTCAGAAAATTTTTAAATTCCCTTTTTAGTTAGAGGCAGGGTCTCAGTTTGTCATCTCGGTTGGAGTGCGGTGGTGCAATCATGACCCACTGCATCCTCAGTCTCATTGGCTCAGGGGATGCTTCTGCCACAGCCTCCTGAGTAGCTAGGACTATAGGCGCACACCACTAAGCCCAGCTAGCCCCGGTATTGCTGTGTTGCCCAGGCTCGTCTCAAACTCTTGGCCTCAAACATTCCTTCCACCTTCACCTCTCAAAGTGCTGGGATTATAGGCATGAGACACCATGCCCTTCCAGTAACAAGTCATTTGATTTGAACTTGCCTGAAATTAAAGCAAGCAATTAATTAATTTTTTGTATTGTTTCCCAGATTCCACTTATTAATGATTTCTACTTTTATTCCATTGTGGTTACAAAAGATAATGTGATATGATTTCTACTTTTTTGACTTTGTTGAGACTTGTTTTGTGTCCAAGATGTGGTCTGTTCTGGAGAATGTTACATATGCTGACGAAAGGATTGTTCTGCAGCAGTTGGGTGAAATGTTCTTTAAATGTCAATTAGGCCTATTTGGTCTAGTTTAACCCCCTTGTTTTTTTGTTTATTTTCTGTC